GGGTTTTTTTTTTTTTTTTTTTTTTTTTTAGGAAACCTCCGAGTCCCGCGGCTGTCGCGTAGAGGACTAGGGAGAAAAATCTCAAGTAAATCAAGATCCAATAATATTTAGTAAAAATTAAGGTGCTACACGGGTGTCAAGATGTTACCGCACTTTCTTAAAAGTGTCTAAAAAATGTTTCAACAATAGGCTTTTTCAGTAGATCTTAAGAAGTTGTATAGTTTCCGGTCTCGTTCTAAGAGTTGCTTTGGGAACCAGCGATGAGTAGCGGAGAACCTCTGCCCGCCAAGCTCCACGATCGTGTTCACGTTTTGCTCGGCTTGGATACGCATTGTCGACGGAGGCGATAATCACATAATTCTACTGGCAGACTCGCCGCTACGATTTAGCGCCATGATTTCGGTATCGCCTAATGCAACATTGTGGATCTCCCTACTGATCTCCGACATTGAAAATAGAGATGCACATCTTTTATGTAGATTCAAGTAACCTTCTCAAAAATGTTCGGGTATATCTGTCACCTTCGAAGCATCCCTTCGATCCGGGCCAACAGCATGTTTACTCGAATACATGGTAGTCCATCTACATCTAATAGGATCAACACATTTAATTTCTAAAACTGGTCTAGTAATCTGCTTGCTATTCTGTAAATCAGGCTCTTGGACATTGATATCAATATCCAGAAATACATCTCAAATAAAATATTTACTTGTAAGACAATATTTACTTACAATAACTTCTAGTATGTCCCCGGACAGTGAACATTCAAGTTGTGCCGTTATCGATAACAATGACGACGAACTGAACAACTTTGCGTGGTGCATACACGTATTTACCGACTATTCCCACTGCAAAGTAAGTTCGTAGTTACTTCGCAGAGGAGCATTGATTGTCGTCCAAAGAATAGAAAACTACTTACTGGCTTCCTTATCCACTGAGAACAGAATTCGACTTGCTAGACATTCTCATTTCTCATCGATTCGTGATTCGTCTGTGCACATGGCCCGAAGGACTCATACAACACGGTATCGACCACCTCTATGCCCCCAATACTTTCAGCGAAGAGCTACTGTAATCTAGGCTAATACCTTTTCCCGTTAACAACTTCATGGAATTCTACACTCGTTACTCGTACAAAGGGTCGTGCATCTTTTGCACGAGATAGCCTTCTTCGTTTACACTTTCTTACACCTCATATTCCATACTGTCTTCGAAGTCTTATCGATTTGAATTTTTTCTCCTGAAAAAAAGTGCATACATATTCAGTAAATTTCTTTTTATTATCTTTCACTACAAGAAACTTAGCATTGTCGCGTGACGTATCCCTTTATAGCTACGGTAGTTATAGTTTTGCCGTTTTGTACTACCATAAAGTGTAAGTTACCAGTGCATATTTTTTCTCAAAGCTTCGACTACCGTTTACAATGAGAATTGGAATTAGAATTAGAAATACCAGAATCAGATGTAAATCATTATTAATATTATAACAGTCAGTTGTCATGGAAGCTTAAATGGTCCCAACTGAATAGCAATTACGTATCAAAGCTTGCGTGGCAGTATATGATAACAATTAATTTTGACTGCTATCGATTTTATGTCAATAGCACGCATTCTCTCCTAATTAGGTTAGGTCAGAGGCTATCTTAAGTAATACTAAAAACCCATTATCTTCGAAAATGTTCCAGAAGTGAATTTCGAGTAAAATCGAATTTATGGGAATTTTCAATACATAATATTAAAGTATCAAATTGGAAAATGGAAAAATATCAATAGGGCAAACGTTTTTCTTCGGACTCGATAGTATTCTTCTCCATATAGAATATCCTTCTTAGTCAATAAATAAAGCAACCCTCTTTGTCCTTAAGGATTTTTTACAATTCTCTTGCAGATAAAATTTCACGAGAATGCAAATTACTTTCTTATAATGTGTATACATATATATTTATGAGTCTACTATATTTATATAGTGGTATCATGCTGTAGAACCCTGGAAAGTTCGTGGGTTAAAAAAATGTAGTATCGATTAAATATAACGATAAACTGAATTAAATCGGAATTTATATTAAGCTTGTTCTCTCGTCCGCAACGAAAATATCTTCGAGGCACGCTTCAAAGCGTAGCAAAGTTTTATCAATATGAAACTACTTTATGACGTTTATCTCTGTCACGCGAAGACTGCTACCTTTAAGATGAACGTGGTCCGCGCTTTTGCATTCAAATTGGTAAAAGATAAAAAATGATCGAACGAGAATTTTCCTTCCATAGCAATAATTGGGGAGTTTGAAAAATGGGGGAGACTGCTAGAATTGAATATAAATAAGCTTCAGGCTCCAGGGCTTGTCAGAAGACATTTTCGAGATGCAACGCTTTTCGGAAGCTGAACAAAATTATTGTTTCGCGAAGTTATTTCTGGAAGGACACGTGGAAGGAAAACTTAAAACTGGGTTGGCTTATTAAGGAGAAATTTAATATTACTATCGATTTGTATTCTGACAAATAAATATCCCAAAAATATTAACAATAGACTTTCTCTCCCTTATGTTAGAAGGGTGAACAGATTACTAGTTACACGTGACTACTTTTTCTTGATGTTATTAAAACGCATCAGGTCTAATTTTGACAGCTGTCAATTATTTACTACGTGGTTTTGGTTGACAGATAGTTTTTGTATGACTTTTTCTATTTACTGTTTTACATACGCTTTATATCGTCATTTGACTGTGACGTTATTTCAAGTATAAATCTTTTTTAAAGTTCAAAGGTCGAGTCTACTTTCCAGCGATAAACTGTTAACAAATGTTGAACCTTAGAAATCTGACGTTTAAAATCAAGAACCGTGTTCGCTTCGGACTAAGGAAAAACTATTTTTCCACGTTACTCGTATTAATGGTATATAAAAATATGCCAAATTAATTACAGACCATTTTAAAATTATAATTCATTTTTATTTAACTATTGAAAAAGTCTTACACCAAAACTTCGTTCTATCCTCGACCAATGCTTTATCCATTTACACGGGGTTAACTTGCACTTGCGGATCAATAAGACTACGCCATTCTTTCCTACCATAAAACTGTTTGTACCGCCATTCCCACCAGATATTGACGTTCTGAAGAATTTATGGATTCCGAAAATTGTCAAAAAAATGTCATAATTTAACCGTCACATCAAATGAAATTGCATAAGCTTTACCCAGAATCTATTGGGTTGGCCAGAAAGTAATTGCGTTTTTTTTTCTAATAAATGAACATACATGCCTTCAGAAAAAAAACACATCGCAACTACTTTCTGGCAAACCAATAGTATCGATCCTTATCTCCATGGTTAATTTTAATCAGTCCAAATAGCAATATCGCCTCACAGTTAAAAAAGGATAACAATTATAAAAATCCAAAAGAAGCATCGCTTTGATCCTACAAGTGTGTCCCACTTAGTTATCCGTTATCCTATATTACGTAGTCAGCCCTACGCAGTAGGCAGTGCCTTCCAGAGATGCCGTCGCTTTGAAATGCCTTGTAACACGCAAAGGCCAATAATTATACTTTTTATATATACGAGCTCTAGGTCATCCCTGTCAGGTCGAGTTTTCCAGGAGATAGTGAAGCATAATTTTTGTTAAACGCAAAACTCCAACGACTATTTCCCATTGTATAAAAATTTTGTAAATAAACTTGATATCGACAAAATTCTTATCAGCTTCAGTAATAATATAACCAAGTAAAAAGTTTCTAACTCCTACGATCAATGAAACTCATTTAATTCCAATTCTCTTAGATAAAAAAACCACGAAGCCTTGATCGGTTATCGAAATTCCAATTTACCAAGTGTTCCGTTTAATTAATAATTCCATTAAATTTCCCATAACCCTCCTCTATTATATAATTCTGATACGCCATGCGCGCATTTCACTCGACATATTCCTGCGTGCTTATCGATCCTCTCAAAGTGAACAATTTTTCGGTACTGTCTGCCACCGAATTACGTGACTCTAAATGATCGATTATTACAAAAATAAATCTCGAACAATACTATCGAATTGATGACACGTAACAATAGAGTTTCTTTTATTATACAAATCTGATAATTATTACAAATATCCGACGTTAAATGTACACAATAGGCATTGTTACAGACTTACATTAACGGACCTTGCATCATCGATCCTCACGAGTACGTAACGTTGCACGTTCTTGAAATACACATGCGTACATGCATATTGAACATGATCCGTAGGACAAGTATAGCGATATAGACAATAGTAGCATAAACGGAAGAAGGCACATAGATTACAGTATAGTTGTATGTATATAGTCCGAATTCCTAAGGCGAAAATTTCAATTTGTTAGGCAATCACGTAAAGTACAGTAAAAACATTAGATCCAACGTTTCCATAGGTCGATATAGATTTTCACGTACTGCGTGACATTTTAATTAAATCTTAATTAACGATCGCGTGGATCTCTTCGTACATACTGTAAATTTTATGTATACGTAGTATGTATACTTTCAAAAGGTTACTTCGTAACATCTACTTTTAAAGAGTCACGCTTCTAAAGCCTAATACATTCAACTAGTATCGATTCTAGGAACTGACACGAACTTTAACGTTACTAGATAATTTGATTAAATGCTAGTTCAATGATCGATCTTAAGACTTAATAGTTTAGAGTTAGCATAGAGATTCCATAGAATTCGTGTCGCTATACTGCACATCAATTCACGTTGTGATTGCAAGATTAACCTCCCACTTCCCTCAATACCAAAAATTAAAGCCTTGAATTTTCTTATCATTTTTTCTATCCTATAATTTTTTTTGTGTTTTCGAATATTATATCACACCGATGTAGTATGTCAAAAATCGATACTTGTAAAAGTTTATACAGTTTATGATAACGTATGACTTTGTACGTAACGGCAGTTAGTAGCAATGGCACTGGGTGTGTGTCGCGGATAAGGAATTTCTGTAAAAGAAATATTTTTGGTAGATCATCGATAAATATTTATTTCTTTTTATCCTGCCTAAAATATACTGCAAGTTGCTTAGAATAAAATATTTTTTCTCAAAGGTCAAATGATCCTCCGCGACACTCCATGCTTTACTTTTGTGCTAAAACATCGAAAGCTCCCAGAAGTCATCGATGAATTACATATTGAATACTGTCTGTCTACTAGCCAACAATTGTGCGACATATATTTATATGCAGATTGACATGTCATGCACATAGAGTGATTCGTTTGCTTTGTTATTACTAGTTTTCTCGATAATCGGTAAAATTAAAAAATCGTGTATAAAACATCATATACATCCATCAGGTTTACCTAACCCGAAAAAATCATTAGTTAAATATCGCAACTGTCTTTCGATGGGTATTGATTAAAATCGGTATTACATTACAATTATTTATAATTTTGGTATGACAGTGTGTATATATATATATCATTTGTTTGTTCATCAAAATACAAAGTGGTCGCGGTACATTGAAGGCAACTTTATAAAGATACTGAATACAATTGGCCCCACCGGGGTAACTTTCGACAAGATCAATACATTAGAAAAGGCCTTATCAATCCCGTATATGATGTACTCGACAGATCTGACAGATTTAATGCAATAAGCGTCGTTTTCATACTTGCCTAACGACCAGTCAAGGCAATCGTCAGGAAAACACTAGAATTTGGCGTTATCCTCCACAACTACGGATACAATGAGGATGAAAGTTTCATATCATTCGCTGATCCCTGATAAACCGTCGCTACACATAATCAATCTAGATATTGACTTTCTCGATTCGCACAGCGCGTCAACTAATAAGTATAAATAGTTTGCGAGTATACGAAGCCCTGAATGAAAATGAAATACCTAAGGAATTCAATAACCTAATCTTTCATACTAAAGTAACATAAACACCATAGTCCTCCTACATTACTTCCCTCTATCATATTTGCATCCTTTGTGCTCTAGTCTACTAACTTACAATTTTCCAATAGAGACAAGTTCAAATTTTCACCCACGTCCAAGAATGTAACAAGGCCGGCGTTTCCGGGGAAAACTTGATCCCAGGTATAGGGAAACTTCGCCAAACTTCGTTCCGACTCCTCTGATTCATCTTTAAAAATCCCTTAAAATGAATCTTCATCCTCGACGTCTATCAGTGGCAATCTCTCGTAGTCGACCATACTCTGGACGCTGAACTTAAACTGCTAAAGGGCCAAGCTTCTGACCTCATTCTCATTGGAATGACCCTGCAGCGACGTGGCCGTCCCTTCTACGAGGCCTTCGTCCTCGCCCTCGTTCTCTTGATTCTCGGTGCAATATCTACATCGCATTTTTGCATCGTCGCCGACCCGGACCGATCGGGTTATGATGACCAGGGTCGTCAGACTCACGACGAACAGTAACGTAGGTACTATAATGGCGACCAGGAGCTCAGTCCGGGTTTTGTTGAGATCGAATCGGGCGACCACGAAGAAAGAATCGTTCTGAAAAATGAAAAAAAAAAGTCGCATGAGATAAGGGCTGGACGTCACGTGCACATAGTGGCTATTGTTATTAGCTAGCAATTAATCGATTAATTAGCTACGTAATAACCTGGAAAGCTTTTACCACGACAAAGCTTACTCCGATGAACCAACATAGTCTACAGTGTACGTTGGGTGAGTCGTTACCGTCAGAAATTAATTTTATACTTGACTAATTTACACGCACGATTTATTTATGTATTTTCATAACGTCCCGTTTCGTGCAACGTAGCTTTACGATCGTGTTTTTTATTATGACTGGAAATTGATCGGACGGCTTTTAAGACCCTGGGGATTCAAATCCCTCACTGAATCGATATAATTACGTTATTTTGGCAGAAAGAGCAAATTCTTCATTTATGAAGTTGGGCTGCCAATTGAAGTTAATAAAAATTCTTCGTCCACCCTTGAAGAAGTTTCTTCGCTCTCGTCGGGAAGGTCGAAAAGTTTTATCGTTCTGCGATGGGAGGAAACTTTTTTTATACAATTTTGCCGGTTTCAAGGTTAAGAGATTATCAAAAGAATAGAGTACCACGCTACCATAATCGTGAAAGTGAAATTTTGTCAAAACTTCGAAATTTTATGTAAATAATAAATAATCATGTGTACGATAGACAAGTGGGGCTTGTCAGTGTAATATGACGTTTGCACGAAATATACATAACAATTTTCTCTTTTTGTCTCGCGATCGATGTCACCGTTTCCCATGCAAATACAGTCAGCCCAGAAAGTACAGCACCCTTCCGTTAGATTGTACAGTGGACGACCGAGGGTTTAAAGTCGCTTGGATTAACGCTGAATGAAGAATAATTTGCAATTTGCTGATGCAACTCTCCCGCGTAACTTATCCTTAGAAGAAAGGTTTCTACGGCTCTAGGAGAAATGTCTCCTGGGAAATAATTCCTCCAACAGAACGAACAAGCAAGGAACCAAGTGACGAAGGAAATTCGGATCAGCTAAGTTGTCCCAAATTATTCTAAAGACGAGCTCAGGTTGAGGGGACGTACATCCGCAGGCGAATAAAACAATGAAGTAGACTTACCCTATTGTAGTAACATGGATATCTACTCTGAGCAGTCTGATTATCTCCGTCTCTTCCATGGCTGACTAAAAAATCCCGACACTCACCCCTGAGTGTATTTACGCAACCCTCGAGGTTTATGTAGAGTCGCGAACTGTTGTAAATGGTCAGAGAATTCTGAGACGGCACGTAGACATCCGTGGGATCCACAGGATGTGCCAGACTCTTTTCGTAGAGGCTAAGGAAGGTGGTAAAGTTGATGAACGGCTTGGTTACGGCTTTGTCTTCTAAAAGCGTGCCATTAACGCAATCCTCCGTTCTGAAAGAGACGAATAGGCCTTGAAGCACGGGAGATCATTCTCGGAATGCACTGGATGAAGAAATTAAATCTGTTTTGGGAAGGAACCGAAATGGCTGTTGAATTTTTTCGGAAATCTTTGATGTCACGATAAATTGTCATTGAGGTCGTTTCTACGAGCTGAAAATAAGGTTGGGATACGGTAAATCTTTGTGAAATTTCATTTTTCATGTTTTTCATTAAGATTTGTCTTTATCTATCTTTACTTCTTGGGGTTTCTAATGAAACGCAAGGAGACTCGATCGTAAAACGTTAACCGTGGGGTCGATAAAACTCAAGACTGTAAGAGATGAAACGGTATACGAGTGACAGTGTATTGAGAATCCGTGTGAACGTCGGATGATCTAGAACTCTTTGTATTTTAACCCAGTGTTTGCTTTACGTTAAACTGCTTCTCCGGAAATTTTATCAAGAATGAGGAACCTTAATAAAATTTTAATAAAAAAAAATTATCTACAATACTCCAGACGACCATGTTTACGTGACGAATAATCTTCGGTATACTGTGGATCTTTGAAACTTGAATTATTATTGGATCTAAAATAATTCTGAACTAGCTTCAAGTTTCCTCGTGCCGTCAAACAAATAATCCAACAATGTGGAAAGAGTAATAGAATCCTCTATTCCGAACTGTCAACTAGTAGGATTCATCATATTTATTGTTTACTTACTTGACAGTGCCCCCTCCGCCTATGACAACCAGACAACTCGCTATGATGGCTCCTTTCTGCTGATTCCAAATTTCCACAGGGTCCTTCAGCCTCGTACCTGGCAGAGACCCGTTTGCCATGTTCAGTGCGATCGCCCGGTTACACTTAGCAGTTATCACGTTGTCGTCCTGCATGATAAAAACGTTGGAGTCGCTCGTCGGGATCTTAGGACAGTAGCGATCGCAGGAAAACGGTCTTTTGATTTTGGTGCATCGAGAATGCTCGCAGCTAAAGAACCCATTGAGCTTCATGTTGTCTTTTTCGCTATCGACGACTATCCCGTCGGCTTTGTAATGGCACAGCATGAGTTCGCTCATATTTGCGCAATGTCCAAGACTGCAGTTAAAAACACCAGAAAGTACACTGCACTCACTGCCATTGTTGCAATTATACCGTTTGAGTCCAGCTGTGTTTACCTAGAAAGATACACAAAGACCGCGTTTATAAATTGCGCTATGGAAAACTCCATTTTTCAATATTGTTCTGCAATGAGAAACTCGTTCGATTGCTATTCCTTTTAAAAGTGCAAAGAAAACCTGCTCGTTATTTATTATTGGCTCATTTCTCACTTAGTCAAAAACATCAGAATAATTTATATATTAACGCATTATTTATTCAGTATCTACTACCAGTTCCCAGAGTACGATAGGCTTCATTGAAAATCCATCTGCTAATACTTCATAGTGGAAAATTAAGTATGACGATTGTTCGTAAGATTGGAGCATTTCTACTGGGCAGGAATAAAACTTAATCGAGCGTCAAATTGACAATGGGAATTCAATCCGAGTCACTGGAGCCTTTGAAAAGTAACATCCCTTATCCACGTAACAGCCTACTAGCAAATTTCAGACCCGCCACAAGCCTATTTCAGGGTTGCGACATTAAATTGAGAGTGCATTATCGCGTGCGACGTAAAATCTAATTCGACGGTGGGGTCGAGTGGTCTGGAATATTATTTTTAGCAGGAAAATCCTATTGCCGTATACGAACAGGGCGCCTCCATTATGATTAAAGGAGAAAGTGCATTGCTCCTTTTACTTTCAATCTCTTTTTTTCAATAATTGAATCAACATTCTAATAATCCTTTTGTCTTTCACCTTTGACATTCATTCGATTATGAAAATTACTCAAGCACTTTATAACTAACCTAGTAAACGTCCAGCACGGTTAACAGCGGGTTTAAACCATGGAAAGTTACAGCCACGGCACAATTAATTCAACCAACGTCTTCGGTCTATTTATATGTTAAAGATCAATTGCACATCTTGAAAGGAAATATAACTAAAAACCTTTCTCGCGGTAAGTCGTCACAAATAATTAACAGCGCGTAAAAGAATGTTCGCTCCGTGAACGCATTTCTAATGACAAGAAGCGCCGTGAGCGGCATTAGTCGGAAGCTCGATCAATCTCTTAGAAATGCTCGGTATAGCCTCGAGAACGTCGATGCTACAGATTTCAAGAGATATAAATTCAATTAAGGTATTACTACGGAGCGAAAAATAACAAAATTTTCAATGTAAGATTTGAACAATCCAGCGTCAACTTTTGAACTGATACAGTTCACTCACACACGCTCATCCCTCCATCGATAGGCGCACACTAATGTACAATACATTGGATGCAGTAGTGTATACGTATATACACCAAAAACAGTCTCAAACGCAATGTTGCCGTAACGCTCTTTTGTCTAGTCGTCGTACGAGAGATTTCGTAATAAATATCGAACTTCTTTCATGTCTATCAATAAATCCTATGAGTAAAAAGTTCTGACTAAAAATCTAAAAAATTCCTAATTTTTTCCTTTGCCACATACTAGTTTTTCATCGGAATTACGCGGACGAGTCAAATGCAATAAAAAAACCATGCGCGTTTTATTGGCCAGGTATAGGGGGAATACGTGTTACGAGTCCTGACTTTAACTCGGAAATACTCGGAAACTGATGAGTGAATCGTGTTAAAAATTTGTAGAGATGTACTTCTATACAAATTAGACGTAAAACAAATTTCAGCTCGATTACGCGGTTTTGAGTTTACCGTAGTAATACCGTAACTGAGATTTAATTTACCCTCCTGCCTCGGGTTACAATAAAATCGAAAATCGCTCAGCACCAAAAAGTCTGTGTCGTCGGACAAAGAGAATTCTTACTCGAATTAAAAATTCCTTTGAGAATTAAAAAAAAAAACGAAAAATTCAATTGTTAGGATTTCATTTATGTTTCAGTCGATTTAGATATCGACGTTCGTCACTCACCTGTGGACACGACATACTCGTTATTTTTGTACAATTCTCAAAATGTACGTCTGTACCATTGCGCCGTACTGTTGCATGAATTTGAGGACAGAATCCTGTGGTCTTCGTTAAACACCATTCACCGCAACTTGCCCAAGCGCAATAATTCACCAAGGTTGTATTCACCGTTTGGCACATAACTGGGTCCGGATCGATTCCTGCGTGAAATGCTCTGAAAGTTTATAGCATCTTGGGAATTTTTCTTTCGCAAAAGAAAAATAAGAAAGACAATCATTTCGTTACTTCGTATCGCGCACGGCTAAAAACGAAATGAACTTCCTTCTCATCTCATTAGGACTAACGCCGATTAATCAGCATAATCTTGTAATTTACCTGTGAGATGGCATGTAGATCGCCACGCTAAGATAGACCAAGGCCACACAACTAATCACAATGGTAAACTGGCACAGACAGATACTACCGCATATTCTACGATCCTGCTCGGGTATCAGACGCTGTTTATATTTCCGACCCATTTCAAGATTTCTTGTCACCTTTTTAGTTTTCAACTTCCTTTATACATTGCGTTTTATTGAGCCATCTCAATCGTCAGAACTTCAACGCGCTGTAACGTAAGATATGTTTTACGTGTGTATTTCGAAAAGTGCGGGAAGAGCCAAATTCTCTAAAATTTCAAATTTCCATATAACCCTCGATCGAAACACTAATCACGTATTATCGTACAGAAGCATCGGGAATTACGTACAATTCGATATCCCAAGAACATGTAAGTACCACTCCCCTGACTATAGATACGACATGCAAGCAAAAATATTTCACTTTCCCCGTCGCTCGCTCACTATAACGCACTTAAGACTATTACCAAGAGATAATTCGATTATTTAGTACGAGGCACAGTCTACTAGTGCCTCGATATAGCTTACACAGCTTATATATCGCGAACAAGTGCACTTCACTTAATGAGTAAGCTGATCCTAATATCATTAAGCTTGTTTGAGAATAATTACTTTTTGTTTACTAATAAAATTGCAGGATACGCTTTTACAACTATCGTCCAATGCGCACTCAAAGTTATTCCTTGTACACTCGAAATTCATGTCTCCCGCGAATGTCGTTGAAGTACCGGTATGACATTGAGACGAAAAATCTTGCTGCTTGGTAGAAGACAAGCCATTTTTATCGCAGCGGGTTGTCCGAATGTAATGCGACTCAAGGAAAACTCAAGTATCAAATAATGCAGGAGTCGGTATGGGTTAATGGTATATCGAAATGTTCGCACTCTGTGACATCGTAGCACTCTAACTGTAGAGAATGGTGGCACTCGAGACCGGTCTCATTTCCGTCCATCATTCGCGATACATTATATCCTAGTACGACAATGGTGACAGACCAAGCGCACCCCGCCTGGATGCCAGAACCACCAACCACCAACTGCGCTCACGCGGCTGACAACTGTTTGAAAACATGTCGAGCCTCCCGATATATATAACGGCTCCAGGTTACTCGAGTTTGCGCTTTACCGTGACGCCTTGCATGGGGGCGAAATATTGCGATACACCCACGAGCTTTCTAGGGGCTCGATTATTCCGGCGGCGAAATATGCTTCTAAGGTCAGAGGAAATATTTCGGGTTAAACTCGCTCAGTGGCGCCACGAAGAATCAGTGGAATGACTTTTTTTTTCGAAGCTCCGTTGATAATGTAGAGTAGTAGTAAAGTAGGTATACAAAATTGGTATACAACACATGTGCATTGATATCTTGAATAAGTGTGGGTTTGGTGGTAAACCTTCTTTTTTTTTGTTTCTTTCTTTTATAAATTAATTAGTTCGACCTACTCGTTGCTTGATCCAGGACGATTTGAATGATTGGGTAAGAAGCTGAAGCTTTGTTTCCAAAGGAAAGATGTGTATCTATATTTTCGTTTAAATTGTAGAATTTGTTATTTACAATAATTTACTTAGTGTCGAATGTAGTTACAGTTTTAGGTGATTATATAATAGATCGTAGTATTATAATTATGTACAGCTTTTGAAAATCTGTTATACGTACGAAAAAGCAGATTTTTATTAACGATGATATAATTCAAATAGATAAAAGGAAACATAAGAAAGAATTTTTTTATTGTTATCTATATGTATAATGTAGTATGTAGCACGTAGTATGTAACACGGACCGATAGAATTTCGGCCAATAAATTTGAACCTTAGAAAGCATATTTTTAGAAGAATGAATTTATCCAAGTAGAGTTTTTACATGATTTCGCTATTTTGACAGTTTATCAGCTTCGATTACCATTCTCAAAATGATATTATACTCTTGAATTTTTTTTCAATACTTCCTTAGAGATTTCTTTAAGTAGCTATTATAATTTGCATATTTTTCTATTACTTTACACTGTAACGATCCTGTTGTTTATTACGCTTTCTCTCGTTAAAATTCGTACGTAACGCGTCCGAAGTCACTATTTCGCATTACGCATACTCGTCGTAACCTATGAAAATGAATTATCCTCATTTTTTCTTTCGTTACGGATCGAAGACAATGTGAAATAATGCATTGGCACTAAATCATTTTTTAATCATAAAAAGTACTGACATTTATTCAATGTCGGATTTCAATTTATTTTCGATTGTCGAAACCGTCTTGCTTCATGCTGCATTCTAGGCAAACACACTTTAACTCTATTGGAATATTTCCATTGAACGATCATTTTTGATCGTCCATTTCTTAAGAATCTGTCCTTCGCTCAAATTCATTGAAGATTCATGAAAGTATTACCAACCCTTCTCTTTAATTTAGATGAATAACCCAAAGCAACAATGGAATTTCCATTCTTAATTTTAACCTCAATTATTCCGACTAATAAGCATGTGTTCATTTATGAGTTTCGCCAATATGAAACGTGCGAGAATGTCTGAGAGATGTTTTTCGCGATCTTCGAAGAATGACACACGTATTTGAGCAAATGATTTTTAGCCTGAGATGAAGAAGAGTAACAGAGTGATGCCAGTACTTGAAGATTCTACGAATTCTATGGACTCTATGGAATATAAGAAGTGTACTAAGATATTAGAGCACGTATAACGTCCAAAAACGTAAAGATATTTTGCTAGCCTTAAGGGGGAATAAGTGCCAAAATATGGAGTCTTCTCGAGAATTTTCTCAAAAGTTCACCTGAGAAAGGGTTCTGTCATTGAAAGTGACTCCGACAACAAGGCCGAGTAATGATTCACAACCATACTAGATGTGTGGGGAATGATAAGGTGCCCTTACACCTCGTTTCTATGAAAGATCATTGGCTTGAGGTGTACGGTGCACGTTTCACGAATCCCATTGAAAAATTAACTAAAACTTCCCTAATGCTATGACTTGTGTTCTAACGTTGAACATGGCATGTAGCGCCCACGTACAAAAATCGTAACAATTTCATATATATATATATATATCAATTTTAATAATATTCACAGGCAAAACTTAGCTCATCTTAATCTAGATTATTAATCGCCTGAGGATCTTGTTGCGCGTCAGACAATCGACTTAAATTTAATTACGCGATCTTCATTCTTTTGATTTTTTTTTTAAGTAAAACTTAAATACTTTCTGTATCCACATAAATTTTCGTTTGATCGGACGCGTAACAGGAATCTCAATAAAATCTATAATCTCCGTGATTTATTATCGGTTTAGCATTTTTAAGGGTAGCTTAACGTGATTACGTGACTTTATCTTCTCCTTTAAGCTAATTACAGCTGCGTAGTTATACTTAACGTTTAACTTGTTATCAATTTATTTGTTAGTAGGAAGGCGCCCCTAAATCGCGTTCTTGCTTTATTTTACAGATTAACTTTAATCAGAATACTGGTAGATGATTGAGTGTGAGCTTTACGCGATCCAGCTTACTTTACCTCATAAATTTAAGATACCCTTTTTGACTTAGCACTCGTCATTCTAAATTCACGCAGTTTTACTCTCGTCATTCGCATACTTTCTGGCATTGATATAATAATCATAAATATTGGTAGACGATGGAATTCTTACCATTATCAATGAAAACCTATTTGATTGTATCCCGCTACAATATTTAAGGTTTTCCCAATCAGTGCGCCACACCATTGTCTTATGCTTGACACAGAAAATAAATCCCTTCTAGAATATCATACATTAATCCGTGAGTGATATAATTTTTCTAAAGAGCGTCCAAACACCGAATGCCTATTTGAGATTGATGCCATAATTGTCAACTTTTCAAAATTGAAGTATACCGAAGAAATATCATGCAACTTTACTATATTCGTTTATTTCGTGCAAATTTAAGATATTCTTAGGGTTAAGTTTTGATCGTAAAGTGGCCTGGTGTTTAAAAAGCGACTGGATATCAAGTCTGAAGGCGCAAATACACAAGTGTGTAATAGGAAGAGGAAAGAAATGTTCCAGCAGGAAGTTAACGTGGTTGGAATTCGGTCAGAGAATAATATCGACTGAAACGTAACAATGGTCTAGCCATGTGATCTTTTAAACCTGAGCCAAGCGTGGCTAACAGTGAGTCGAGGGTCGGCGCCACTTCTTAAATTGAAAATATCAAGTAAACTAGATTCCTTCAACGGTTCTTCCGGCGTCACTCCCGCGCAGGGGGGTGCGCCCTTGGTAGCAGTCAGTATTCCTCTTCGTCCTCCTCGAATTCGTCCTCCCTCAGGATGCTAAGCAATAAGACTCCGTGTAACCCATGATGCAGTTACTCCAAATCTACTTACGCAAATCATTCCGGAGTTGCAACTTTCCCTCAGGCAATTTCATCCCAGTGAAATACATAATGTCATTATAAGCTTTTACGTAATTCAAATCATTAATAATGCGTCTCCGTAATGATTCGTCAAACAAAAATGAAAGAACATCTAGCCCTGTGGCACTGCATACATACACGTTACTTACTCTTCCTTCCTTCCGTACTTCTCAATTAAATTTCTTCCCGAACCTCCGCAAGTTTTGCCCATAGTGGGACAGTACCAGTAACACAAGACGCCCAGAGAAACAGCAAAGAGCACGATAGGCGTAACCAGTGCCAAGACCAAGTGCCTCAGATTTTCATCCCAGGAATATCTGTGTGGAACCAAACATACGTGTTATCACTGACGTTATCAGAATTTTTTTAAGTCAAAACGATTTACCTTGCAACCACAGTCTCAGGATGCGTTCTGCTATAGTAGCAAGGAAAGATTTTTCCCAAATTGTTATATCCAAACTTCTTGGAAAATTCCGAACAATTGACTCGAGGTGGATAACCGCAGCCTTCCGTATTAACAAAAAATTTTGTATCAGCAACGTCCCACGGAACCGAACCCGCTGGCTTCGCCATGAACTCGTCATACGGTATCCTGGAGTAGTTCACCCTGATCTGATGACATCGAAGTGCAGCACTGGTACAGCCTACATTTTCATTGAAATTAGTAAACTATCGGGTAACACAGCTTTCGTATCGTTATACCTTCTCGACAACTGGCCCAGGAGCAATTCTTCAGTCCCTCGGCGTAGACGTGATCGGTCGCAAGGCAGGCCACCGGGTGCGGCGAGAAATCAGCAAGAATTGTCGAAATTGCCGGCTCGACGACGAAGGGTATCAAAAAGAGGAAGGCGAAAACAGCCAAGATGGCGGTAGTCCCAAGGCACAAGGAGGTGTAGAACTTGGCCTTTTCCATCAAAGTGACGACCTCCACCACTGGCAGCACTCCGCCGCCAGTGCTGGACTTGACCTCGCCTTCCTGGGCGCCCATGATAACCGTCGATTCGTCCGAATCAATGATTAGGCTGTTTCCTGGGTCGTTAAGACCCGACGTTTTCTAACGAAAAAAACGTACAACTATCCAAATCACCCTTATCCCTGTCTTCTCGCCGTAGCACGTTAAGCACGATCCTCCAAGAGTATCTTGAGTCAAGTAAAAGTCATCGCGATTCAATCATCTATCAGCAAGCCGTTTTGCTTTTTCGCTCGAACGAAGCGTGTACTAAATTTTTAATAAACTCCTAGCTAGTGTCGCGCAGCGAGCTGAGAAAACTCGAGTCAATTGATCGATCAACGATTCGAGTACGTGTGCGAGATTCGCGAAATTATTATCCAATTTATTATTATCCAACACGCTCGAATTTTCTTCTATTTGCGAGATACGCGAACAGCAGACAATTTGCTATGTACGAGATAAGAGCGACGAGACGGGTGGATGGAGACGTCGCACGAGGATCATTCTTCGGTCAACAGCAGATCCTCCGGAACAAATGACAACAGCTCCTTCCGGTAAGTCGCCGATCCAGCGAGCGCAGCTTCCTCGTGTCTTCGACGTTTCGCCTTGAGTCAACACGCGTGCATGCTTTCGAAATGTGCGGGCAGTGCGAGTATCGAAAAATCTTAATATTTTTCTCTTTTTTTTCTTTCTTTATATCTCTTTTATCTGTAGAAGTGTAACAATAAGAATTTTAATCACGCGTTCCCCTCCCCCCCCCTCCCCCGGAGCTCAGTAGTGCCCACGTAGGGAGAATATCGACTGACGAGCCGGACTCTCCTCCAGGAGGGGAATGCCTGAAATAAAAAAGACGTCGAGAAAGAAGATATAATTTTCATTCTTGCATTCAATTTCGATGTACGTCACATTAAAAATGAAACAAGATGTAGATACGTTCTTTTAGAAAATCTATGAAAATCCAGTCAGCAATGTTAGCACGTATAAAAGTGAAAACGGCTCTTTGTCATTTTCAGCGTGGACAGATCTAACGATCGAGAGACTCGCGTGAGGTTGCTAATCTAACTAATTTATCTATCAATTCTATTCTCCCTCCAGAGGCTGACATTGAGTCATACGAGACACACGGTTACTGAGGTATTTGATATGACGAATCTTACGTGACGGATCTCAGAGCGCCATAACAGAATCTCCCCCTCCGGCGTCCCCTAAGTTACCAGAGGCGCTTTTCTCGATCGACGTCAAAGCCCCGGGTGAACCTTTGAATCTCATTTTGGCGTCGTCGCCGACGACCACAGTGCGCTGACAGAGAATCAGGGTGAGACAGCTGATGATGAAGAGAATGCTTGGCAGTATAAAGGCGATTAGGAATTCCTTGTAGGTTGTGTCAAGATCGAATCGGGACACGACCACTCCCGTGTTCCCTTCCGCGTAGTAGCACGGGAATCTTGCTCTCGCGTTATGATCGGTCCCGTCTTTTCCATATTCGCGTAAGAACTCTTTGCACTCGTCCCGAAGCGTATTGACGCAACCTTCGAGATTGATCAGGAGCTTGCTGTCGTTGGCGATCAAGAGATCCTGCTCGGGCGGCGCGATCATCCTGGTCTCGTCGAGAGGCTTGGTGGCAAATATGTTCAGATAGGAAAGATAGGTGAAATTGGTTAGATCGGTCAGCATGTCCTTCTCGAGAACGGAGCCGTTGATGCAGTCGACCGCCTCGACGCCCAGGGACGTGTTGTATATCCCGTAGCAGGAGGCCATCATCACGTCGCCCCGGTCCTCGTTCCATATCTCTCTTCCGGTCTCGACGTCTATGGCCCTCTCGCACTGGCTCAGGTACACCTTGTCGCCGCTCATGAGTATCATGTTCTTGTTCCGCGTCGGTATGTCGACGCACCTGCGATCGCAGTTGTACGGAGTCCGTATCTTCTCGCAGGTGCCCCTGTTGCAGTTGAAGAGGCCGTCGACGTCTATGCACGTGATCTTGCCGCGACGACCGGAGCACTTGAGTGGAGGGTCCGTGTCCTTGAACATGCACTCGAAGGCGTCCGTTATATTGATACACATACCCATCGTGCAGTTGAAGGTCCCCGTCAGGTTACGACACTCGTCCGCGATGCAGCGCGACTTCTTCGCGTTCTCCTGGTCTATGCCGTAGCAGGTCTTGTTCGCCGTGTTGGTGCAATTCGCGAGGAGTATCGTCGATCCGTTTCTACGCAGGTTGACGTAGATCTGAATGCAGGCACCGGAGGTCTTCGAGAGACACCACTCGCCGCAGCTGCCCCAGTCGCAGGTGTCCTTGTTGATGGCTCTGGTGGTCGTGCACATCACGGGGACCTCGCTGATGCCAGACTGGAACGCCCTGGTGCTCGGCATGTAGATGGCGACGGTCAGGTAGACCAGAGCGACGGAGGAGAGGACGGCTGTCATCTGGCAGATGCATATTGTCCCACATATGCGACCGTCCTGGGGCGGTATCACGAGATCCTCGACGGGCACCTGTTTCGGCATGGTACCGTCTTATCGGCGGCCCTTGTTATCGCACCTGGTTAACGAGGAAGACCAAAGGCTATCCCCGAGCCTTTACATCCCCGTTCACTCGTTCCTCGGACACTCTCGACAAATTTAGTTTGATTTTTACCGCAGGACGAGTCCACCCGCGCGCGATCACGCCTCCTCGCGAATGCGCCGGAGCTTTCACGCGCAACGATCGATTCGACGAGCTTGCGCAGAAGAATTCGAGAGTTGCTCTATGCCGCAGTGACGTCAGGCTATGTCGCCCTATCTCAACCGACGACGCAGACACCCTGGTACGCTGGTGCCCCTTGTATGCCACGATGCCGTGCCTTCTTGCCACCCTCTGTAAAGTCCCTCTGGGCTTCGGCAGAATCGACGGGGTCGAGTCCCTTTGCCAGGTCGCGGAACCACCTTTCGAAATTCCTCGTTAATGCAGCAACCTGACGACACTTGCCACTTTCAAGAATTTTGCGTCAGGGCGCAAGCTCCATGATACTTTTCGCTACTCGTGTCCCTTGCATCCCCCTCGTCCTGTCTCCTTCAACTCGCCCCATGAGACTTGACTCCTGCATCCCTTCTACATCCTCCCTGTGACGTCTGACTGGATCACCGTTCCATTGATGCCTCGATAACTGGGACATCTTTGCTCTCCAGTCTCGTTCTACCGCTATGATTGTAATTCCCTGCGAATCTCATAAGTTTTATAAAACGTAGACAAGCCACCAAGGAACTTTGTGGTTCGTTGAAAGAACATCGCGAATTCGAACGTACATGGTTTTCAGTGATCCCCGATGCTATTACAGGAGTGTGTCATGGCGCCACACGGGTTTTCAACTAGGTTACCTGAGTGGCAGGTGCTCCGTGAGAGAACTATAAAGTTTTATGCCGCTACTGAATTTACTTTGATATCGCTCGCCGAACGGTTGTAGGTTAGGGCAGGGTTACATTTTCCGATCAAACGAATAAAAGGTAATGGCAGGGTCTCCTCGGTGTAGGCATCTACGTACATTTAGGCCGATCCATATCGAAGGCTGCTATACCTCTGACATAGTTTTTATCTTAATTGGTCCTAGCGACGGGTTGGCATAGTTCGACATGAAGAGAAATAAAGCGTTGAAGTGAGGCTTAGCGCGTTAGCACGTTATGTATTTAGTAGTTTATCGAACGCTGTACTCAGACAGCATGGCGCCTAAGCTTTGTCCTATTCCTTGTACCGCATAGCCGGCTCGACATGTTGCTTTACACTTTCCACCCTCCTGATATCATTAAATATTTATTTCTCTAATTATTTAAATATGAACACCACTCTCTCGTGAGTTTTTATGCCAACTTACTGCCAACTTCTCTTTTTCTCGTATCTCTGTCTCTGTTCCACCGACTGGCAATGGGCATATTGGTGCATTATTGGACGCAGGCTTATGCCGTTACGCGAATGGATCTTATTCGTTAAACTGATAATATTCACTGATGACTCGAGGGACATGATCTTGCATTTTATGCAAAATTTCGATGTTGACCAGAACCTAATATAAGAACAAACCCAAAAGGACAGACTTTCGAATAGGTTATGGTACTGAATTATTTTAAGTCAACTTGATCGATTCATACACGGAGGAGTAGCTAGTGACCCACCCAAAGTACACTACTACCATCTATTGTTACATGCCTCTAGCTAAAATATGGTAAACAATCGTTAAATCATTTGATGCTAACATTGCTGACTCTCGATAGATCACTGGATTCACTTATTTTTCATGGAAATTTGTCATTATGTACACGTATGATTAGTCCAAGGTATCGCGCAGCACTTGCATTTATATAATTCTAGGAGATTGTAGAAAGTAATTGGCGAGTCGATCGATTTTTTTCCAACTACTATCTGTCCTCATTTGATTTACCGCGTTCTCAATGCCCGACAAATTAGTAATAATTTAAGCAGTTTCGTATCCAGCGATTAAAAATACCTCGACCTGCTTCTCGTAGTCAGGGAAACGATATCTCTCCAAGAATACACATTCTAAAAGAAGTGCTGGCACCAGGAACTGATATGGAGAATATTTGACACTCTGTTCGATGAATTAAAATAATCCAGTTTTATGCTAAAATCGAATCTAGGTGAAGTTCGACTTTTTATATTAATAAAAGTGGAACAATTTTTTATTTTAACTGCCAACAACCACCTGTCAAGAAGCAAACATATTGTTTACATGGCAGTATCGTTTGATTTCATAATCGCATAACCCTCACAACTAAACACTACCAACACGGCACACCGATCGATAAATGCAAAATCCACGCACGCACTCTTACCACGTATAAATAGCTGAAACTTGTAACTTACGTATTTTCACGTAGAATCGCAAGATTTTCTTCACGAAAAAATGTCACTTCTCGCAGTGGTGCTTTCGTAAGGGAAACAAATATGGCGGTATACCTGAAACGACGGTGGCGCCATCTGAGAGTTGCCGTATCGTATTAAAAAATCAATACCAAGTAGCACCACCACCGTCGCAGCGCTCTACCGACACATTCCCAGAGTCACTTCAATGGAAGCACGTTTGCCAACGGAGAAGCTACTGGCAGAAAAAAAAGGTGCTTTGAATGGGAATCGGAAAATCAGATTTCCTGATGCCGTTAAAGCAAAGCCATCTATTGTCAAGCCGTTACCAATGTTTCTGCCTTTCATCGAGAATGTTTGTCCACGGCAAACAGCACCTTTTCATACCGACTAATTCCTGGAAGAGACTCGCCCACCGGATAAAATTCTTCCTCATACCTCTTCTCAGCCACCAAATCGCACTGAGATATTTCACATTTACACACTGTGGGATTTCTTGAAGAATTCCAACTGCTCTAACAGCCGCATAAAGCCGTTGTACGTAAGAAGGCGTATATCTTTGAAATTTAAACAGACATTCCGATTACAGGTAATTCGTTCCGTGTTAAAGTGCATTGCAAAAGCAACGTGACCGTGCAAAGATTTCTGATATTAAACAATGCCGCATCTCTTCACCCGACCCCGTTTCCTTATGAATAATTAAAGTGGGCCGAAAATGCACTTCGAGCCAGTCGTTATTAATTGAAAAAATTAATACTCGCTCGATTACATTAAAATGTCGATATATTTGCACTACTTAAAATTAGTCTCCACGATAACGTAAATTACGTATAAAATTTGTAAACCAATGACTGTGTTGGATTTTCATAATGGATATCCGTGCACGTACGTAAGCTAGGGATGCGGCACACAGGCATATCTGCTCCCATAAATAGAGAGCTATTTCCAATATCAGCAATAACCCCGGCATAAAAAGCTATCCAAGAGAAATGAGTAGCGGTAGCATTTCTATCGGCAATTACCGATCGCCACTGGCGTGTCTATATTATAAAAAGAAAAGCTGTGACCATTTCTTGATTACTTTATCGATATTATTTTTTTCAAAATATCATAAATAATTCCACTGAGACTGTAGAGTCTTCAGTGTTTCCAGAGTGTCTATAAACAACGTTCGTTCTGTTTAAATAGTTAGCTACGACCTGGATACTTACGTGGACTGGAGAATCCTTGCCAATTAATGGATAAGAGTTATCGGCGTCATTTGCATGTGACTGAGAGATATCTCCGAGCCATTGAATGTACGTGGCAGGGCAGTAAGGCATTTGGCCCACGTTTGGCCCACATTTTGGTACATTGGCTCACAGCCAAAATCCTCCGACAAGCCCACTTTCTGGAAGAACCCCAGAAATTTCTAAGGTCAACCTCTCACTGGCGACCATTGTGAGTTCGCGAGGAATTCCCGTGAAACTCAGGTACTATAATACGGCGACACTGAGTGCGGCTTTCGCGTAGTTACACACTCTAGAAAACAAGAGTGAGAAATTAGAATACACCGAAAGGGTCAAAGGGTAAGTACTACCGGCAGTTCTTAGCTGTTTCGATAAAACCATAGAAATTTCCAAAAACTTTTCAATTATCATGAATCAACACCAGCTTGTAATGTCAATATCACTGGGTGACAATATTCTTATCAAAGTTTCATCTTAATTATTTCTCAAACTCCAATACATTCTTGCTGGTTATAATTTTCTGCATCATCAAAAAAAAAAAAAAAATCAAAAAAATATCACACGATATTATACAAGCATTGTACCGAGCCACCAAGCACGAAGTACGGGCTATGAGTGACATTGCGCAATGCGCGTCCAGAAGCAAAATACACAATGCAACATAACGATCCGTTCTAGAGTGAAGTTGCAATTGTTGGAGGAAAGAGGTTCTATCACGCGAATTCGAGGAAAACTCTTTGCCAATTAAGGGACTGGTTCGTGTTGTCCTAGTCCTTTATACTCGTTCCCTGCTAGGCTCGTATCAAAGTTTCAAGTGGGTCGTTATTTCTGCCAAAGAGATTTTTTATCATTTCCCTCGAATCATCGAAGATGAAAAATCGTTGCCCGATCTTCGTTAGAGAAGCCAGCAGCCTGAGCACTCGACTGTCTCTCTCGAGTGTTGCTCGACTGTCAATGTACCGAGAGTTAAGAAGTCCTCCAGACAAGAGTCTGTTCTAGGGTTGTTGGTCCTGCAACGTATCGATCGGTTTATAATGACTTGATGGCAATTCACTCTCGTCTTTGTCATCTCGGAAATTCTCTTGGCCGGTTAAAATAATTCAGAAAAATAAACTTTACATCCGTCCGAAGGACAGGTCTCGAAACTCGCGCTGGAAGATGCTGCGATTAAGGCTGAACGAGTGCCTCGAATAATGTTTTCGAGTTAGCCGGATAGAAGAGGACGTACGAAGAGTTAATTGCTCACAGCAGGTAACACGTAAATAGGCCTAACAGCCTGGTATGCAGATATCAGGATATTACCTAGCCGTACGGCTGCACTCTCGTTATCTACCCTTGATCGTGTTTTCCTTCGTCTCAGCGTAACGGACTGAAGGAGACCAGACAAATTCTTTGTAGGTACATTATTTCGTTAGACCTTTGAGAGCAGAAGGACACATACGACTGAGGGCCGAGGCTGCTGAAATTATAACGAATTATCATTTGCTCGAATGCAACGAAGGGCTGGACGAATTATTGCGAAAGGTACGTACGTGGGCTGACTTTGAGAAAAATATAAGTAGAGGTTTTCTTGTACGCCGACCCGTTGTGAATGAATAATAACTAGCAGAACGGGCCAGGCGCTTTGAGCTTAGACGGGGGACGCCCTGGACGCCGCGGCGGTCGATGCCACCATTTGCCGCCGCGGCGCTCGTGTCGCCTGAAAATAAGCTCGCCCAAATGCTCGCCTCTGCAGTAGCCCGGCATCCGCCGCCGCACTAAGGATTATACCTTGTAGTGTTAACCGAGGACACAGGGAGACAGTGAGGAGAAGGAAAGGGAGAAGGACAAGGCGAGAGAGAGAGAGAGAGAGAGAGAGAGAGAGAGAGAGAGAGAGAGAACGAAACAGAGAAAGCCAAAGAAGAGAAGAAAGAAAGGAAGAACCCGAAACGTCCTTACAGTCAGTTCAGCGAGGTTTGTGCTGGACGAGAGCTGGATAATAATATAAGAGTATTAAGGAGTGAGAGAGACCTTAGGGAAATAAATAGTCAAAGAAGACAGGTGAGGGGTGCCCTGACGCTTGGCGATCGAGAGAGGAAGAATCGAAAGGACACGAGAGGAAAGGATCGAAGGAAGAAATGAAAGAGAACGAAGGGAGAGGGAAGGACGAGATGTCCTGAGGAAAAATATATTAGGAAAGAAAAGTGGGTGTCGTCGTGGGACAAATGTGCAGGGTGTACAGTGTCAGAGACAGTGCTTTCTGAGGGAGCCCAGAGAGAAAAGGGGAAGGACGTGGAGAAATAAAGGGGAATCAGGAGTGAGAGGAGGAGGATGCGGGGCCAGAGGAAGGGGGCGAGAAGCCCCAATCGTTTCTCTTTATAGGGGGTAGATCATTATCAACGTTCCCTCCAATATATTTTTTTAACCTGGTCCAACCAAACGACTTTCCGGGAAGGTTCGTCCAGATCGTGAGGGAAAGTCAAAATGTCATAGTGCGAACAGCGTCGAACCTCGAGGAAGACGTCGAGCGATCTTAGAGACCTCCTGGAGCCCCGGAGGCTTCGCTGTTCTACCGCGAAGGCAAAGGTGGAAAAACGGTGCGTCGATGGCTCTGAATTTTTCATAAGACAGACCCTCTTACGCTATAGCACTTTCTTCGTCGACTCTTGGCGTGCCGGAAATATCGGTGGCTCCTACTCGCGATATCAATGTGGTCGATGAGACCTCATCGAGGCTCAAGTTCCGGGTTCGGTCTTCCTTGTGCCAAGACACACGCGTTTGCTATTGTCTCGGTGTGTTTGCGTGGAGGAAGGTCCCACCGGCCAATCAGTCTGATCCAATAAAGCAAAGCGGCCGTTTACTAGGGAATTAACGTGGTCGGCCGGTGCTGATCCTTAAACACGATATATCACGTCCTGCGACGTCTCCTTTGAATTCGCCGACGGTAAAATCGAAATGATTAGGCTGACGCGAGAATGAACCTCGGGCGAAATCGCGCGGGGTTCACAATGAGGGTCGGCGCGCACGGCCGCGCCAATTGCGGCATCACTTTCCGGAAGGAAGTTTCTTTAGTACGAAAATCAGTGATAAACGACCATTGAGATGCGCTGGGAAAATTTACATTTCTTTCCCCTTTGCCTTGGCTGAAAGGAACTTTGGACTATTTGACGAATCGGTGATTAACGTCAGCTTGTGTCTCTTTTACAAAGTACTTTTTTTTTCTCCAATTCACGTAATACGATCGCGACGAGATCTTCCTGCGAAAGTGGTTGGGTTGCCGAAGAAGCGGACAGACGAGAAGGAAAAGGTGGGCAATGAAAAGTACAAACGGATTTCCTAAGAGAAACATTCGTAGATCGCTCGACTCTTGGACGTGTTACGTCACGAGAAGTAACGTCCGCTAAGGATCATTAGACGCAGCACTGCCGGGGTTCTCCAAGATGGCGGACGAGAAAGAGAAGCAAACATTCCTGCAGAAGCTACTGTTCTACACAACCGCCTTCTTCATCCTCCTTGGCACCTTCAGCCTCTTCGCCTTCCTCTTCTTGGTCCCCTTCGTCATCGATCCCGCCTTCACCACAATCTTCATGCAGTTCGATACGCGTCCGGCAGAATGCGTCACCATCGACGTTGAGTCCAGGAGAGGTGAACAACATATCGGTCTTTTCATCGTATAAATGTCCTTTTCGTTCTTCTGCATGATCTTCTTCACGTGTCATTCGATCTCTTTACAATGATTCTCTTGTCTCCTTCTCTTCTTCTTCTTCGTCTTGAACAAAGTCCAAATGCCGAATGACAAAGATAGCAAGTAGACTCACGAGATCGTCAAAAAAATATTTCTTCGATTTATTCCAATTTTTCAATCAATTTTCAAAATCCTTATTCTCGTATTCTACTCTCGTTTCTGGTATGCACGTACGTCACTTCCTTCGTTTTAACGATTCTCTTATTCCGTTGTCACTGCTCTCAGGCCGAATCTCCAATTTGCGCGGTCCGAGAGACTTTCCGCTCGTACGAATCAGGAATGCATGAGAATTTCAAGAAGGAAAGTTCCTCTGCTTCAGCGTATACCTCGTCCATTGTTTTTCTTCCCCAAAAATTATTCTTACGTCGTTGCCAGTAACGTTGTCGCGGGAGCGATCTTTGCCATTTTCGAAATTTTATTATTTCTCCAAGTGCTTTGGGAAAATTCGATTAAACGGTTCATCTTGGTATCCATAGAGTCAGATCCAATCAGCTGCAAGAAATAAATCCCCACAAAGGGCAGTCGATTGTCGGGGGTGACGCGTTAGCGTAAAAAAAAAAAAAGACACCGACGCCAATCGACAAGTCGCCAATTGCGAGTCGGCCAACTTTGGAAAAACTTCTGTTGCCCCCACTTCTTCTTCTTCTTTTGGAAGCGCAATTTCATTAATTAGTTGGCCGAGACGACCTTTGGAATGGGAACTTTCGAACTAGAATTACTCGAGGGCCGGAGGTGGCGATATCAGGGACGCTGCCAGACAGAATCTTCCCTAGAGAAAATTTCAGAAATTCTAGTCTTTACTACAGCATTGTCAATTCCGGATCCTTCATTTTTTGGACTGCACAAAAATTTCCCCAATTTTTCAATGTCCCATTAGATCTGAATAGCTGAAACCGTTCTGAGGTTATGGAAACTTAAGGCTACCCTTATGCCATATGTGCATGTAACACGTGTGCGACTGTCCCTAAGTGTTCTGAATTTTCAAGGTTTTCGCAACATCTGTTTGTCTTGATCGTTCAGTGGCAAAGTTTCTTCTGTATAATTTCATTATTTGCAAAGATAGTATTTGCATATGGGTAATCCCCTTTTATTCACATTCGGTCACTGTTATATTTTTCATTTTTTATCTCTTTCACCTCGACAGCCCGACGTGTAATTAAAATGGACCATTCGTTGGGAAAAAGAAAGAGTAGAGAATTATATCGTATAGAAGGATCGTGAAAGGAAGGGTGTATATGTCCATTGGATGAAATATTCATTTTATCTGGAATAAAAAAAAAAACTGATATTACGCTCGGGTATAGCTGTTATCAATGTAATGGGGATTTACGTATATAGCAATCTGTGATATCTGTTGAACGACTGAAAATAAATTTTCGAAATCATATTACAATCCACATTTGAATTTTATTCCGTATCGAAATTTCCGCTGTTGGCAATATATTTATGAAATTTCGAAAAGTGGAACTGATCGAATTTCTCATTCGTTCTTATTGATTTCCGGCGCCGTAGGAAGCACATCGATATACCAATCACTCGAGCATTTCATCGATCTCCACGATAAAGAATGATTTAGTAAATTTCCGAAAGTCTCCAGGTTTGTCTGTCGCTCGAGTCGAGGTTTAAAGGTCAAAAGTCTCCGTTCTGTACGCATGTGCATAAGTGTTCGTGACGTGTCTGAATGATTTATGGGAATGATCTCATCGTCGTAAATTCAGGTGCAAGCAACTGCTCCTGGACATCGTGTAGAGAAGGGTGCACCAAGGAACTGTATGATTGCACGCAAATACGCGTCAACTACAAGCTTCCGGTGAACACGTCGGAAGCGGAAGAGGACGGGACAGGCGAGGAGGGCAGAGCGGGAGGAGGTGTTGAGGGCGACGAAGATGCGAAATCGCGATACGAGAGAGCCCTCAGGGAGTACGACTACGCGGAGGACATCGACGATGTCTTCGACGAGGACGGAGACTCTGGACTACCAAAACCCTTCCCTACAGGTATCATCGTCAACCCTTACTGGTAGCCAGCCCCTCGATGGGATTGAAACGAGATAAAAACAAGCCCAGAATGAACTTGAATATTCTCATTTTTCTTTTGTCAAATTTTAATGATCACTGTCAATACTGATCATTCGACCAATCACATCTTCAGGTCTGATGGGCAATGACTCCGAGTGGTACTTCACCGGCGCGAAGCTATTTCCCAACGTAAAAGGCTGTGGATACCCTCCAATGCTGAATTGCAGTAATTTCTACAGGCAATACGCCAATATAGGGCAAAATTTTAGCTGTTACTATTCTAAAGTGGATCCTGGAATCGTCATAAGCGACTTGGACATGTGGCAGGTCTCTGAGGAGAATTTTTTTAAAAGCGTCCACGATCTTCGAATTCGACTCTGTCCTGTCTCTCAATTTTCCTCAAAATTCACTTCTCTCTTTCTTGGCCGTTCGACGCTGCCTTGCACGACAGACTCGAACCAGGCATATACCAAGTTTCCACGTGTAGTTACACTTACGTAACGGAAAGTTCGTTTCTATCGGTATAAATGCATTTCAACGTGAATAGCCGTGCCGACGGCGACGGCGACGGCGACGGCGACAAAGCCGTGAACCGTCGCCCGCGATAAACCAGACTGCCAGGAAATTCCTATCCGTTCTTCGATTCGAAATTCAATCGGGAAACGCGCCCGCGCCCTCCTTTCAATTATTGCGAGTTTCACGATGACGGAAGCGGTGACGTCACTTCCCTTTCACAAGTCGCCAAGCCGTAGTCGGATTATGGCATTCTGTCCATATTGAAATTCTATACGGATTGCGTAGCAATTCCCACGAAGTCACGTATCGAGTGACTGGACGTGATAATTTTTGAAAATCAAGTAAAACCACAAGTTCTCGAATTCTAAGATCGACTTTACCGACGCAAAAGCCAAAAGAGGGTGGGAGGTATTTTTAAGTGAATCTTATCAGGTCAAAATCGTAGGTGCACATGAACCTCGTCTACGCGATGGCCATTCCCATACCGTCTTTCATAATATCGGTGATATACCTCACCATCGCCTACTTCAAGATTTACAACGAAGAGGAGGAGGAGCTCGTGGGTGGCGAAGAGGGCGAGGAGGGCGTCGAGGCCGAAGACAGTAACGCGACGCCGCTTCCCCCCACGAGCGGCGCTTTAACTCCCGGAAGCGAAGTCTTCAGGGAGGACCTCGCCAGTTTCGGTCATCAGCTCAAAGTCGCCATGGCGGATGACATCAGTCGAGAGAGCCTCGACGGAATTCCGAATTCGCTCTCGGTCCAGGGGTAAGCAGTCACCAGTCCTTAATATTTCACCCTACCAGGCGTAAGCCGAACATGACAAATCGAAACAGCCATGCTCGTTTGTCCGACTGTCCCAGAGTCCTTTGGGCTCGTGTGCGTACAATGGTAGAGCGTGTTTTCATGAGAAAAGTGCCTGAGGAAATATTTGCCAAGAGGTTGTCAGTCTACTGGCCGAGGAGACTGTATCAAACCCAAGTGGTAGGAGCTTTGATCGATCATAATCGTACACCGGTAGAAAGCTCAATGTTTATGCTTTGGCCCATTCGACACGAGGACACGGCGACGCACAGTCTCGCACGATCTCTCGTATCTATTATAGCAGACCTACATATATATAGCCCCTTTCCCGGCGCACGAATCCATTCAAAAGAAATCATAGATGGCGGCACGTAAGCCAGGGCCTTTATATCCCTGGACATATATACCTATATATATACTCCGTACTATAGTAACACATAGGGCCAGCGGAAAACAATTACGCAGCAAAGCCAGTCGGTCGGCAAGAAGCAGCAGCTGCTCTGGCGTCTTCCTACTGGCGAATGAAAAGAAGGTTGTTTATGGTGAAGGGTGAAAAAAACATTATTGATTACCCAAAATCCATTTACGAAACTAAAATATTACTGCCAAGAACGCCAACCTACACGGTCGCACGATTCGCCAGTCTCGCGTCCGAGGATACCCGTGTTAATTTGGAAAAACGCGAAATTCTAGGTCAACACACCGCGATCCGATAACCGAAATTACGGGAATATGTAAAAGGGGAGAACCGGCGCGAATCCATTCGGAGAGCCAGCAAACGTAACCTCGTCCGATCAGCCGTCGCGACGCCAGGAGCCTCGAGCATTGAGAAAAATTGAAGGAGCCTTCCTTACCTCTCCCTCCCTCTTCGCCTCTCCCACCCACCAGACGCTCCAATGTCCCGAAGTCTTTTAAAACTGTCGGAGCTTACGACAAACGCTGCTTTACTTCCCTGCCAATCGATATACATTCGTACACCCGTTACACTCGGCCGACGAGCCTCCCTGTGGTATTTGAGTTATGCCAAACCGACCCACGATACGCGATTTCCATCGGTCAAATATTTGACGGCTTTGACGAACCGCTGGGATCGATGGGTAGTCGGGCTATGAATAACATTTATACTAAACGGAAGTTGGGCTATCCGATGACTCCGAGCCGCAGGCAACAATGAAATTAGCCGACACGCCGTCCGTCGAGTCAACGAATGCACAGGGATCGCCGGTACATTGGGTAGGCTCATAGAACGTGGTATGCGGTGTGTGGTATTTGGTACGAAGCGAGTGGGTAGGTGGGCGGCTGGTGTATATAGTGTAGCAGTGCGTGAGGGAGGCCGCCGAGGAACAAGCAAGGACGCAAGCATCGATTCGAGCCCCCAACCTGTCGCCCCAGCCCAATAACCCAACTCGTACGACTCGCCTCGTTTCTGCCCCTACACGGTAAAACGCCTGCTGAGGATTCTAGGTACAGCAAATTGATAATCACTCCGAGCAGGACCCGGTAGGACATTTCAAAATCGCTATGACTTTTTGGTTTAGTCAGTTCTGATAACGTGTAATCAAACTGTTGGAGTTGAGGCTCTCGAAACTTTAGACAGCTGGTCAGTGTCAGTTGGCTGCTAGACGTGCTTCCGGTTAATTGCTAGATTCCACGTAATTAAAAGCCCTTCGAGTACTGACAGCAGGGAATTAACATTTCACTAGTTCTCGACTTGTACATGGAAATTGAAAATCCGTATACTCCGATCTAATGACGGAACTCTTGTTCAATGTGTTTGATAGGAGTATCTGCTGATGTGTAATAAGTGCTGAGGAAGTGCTAAAGTGTTTTTTCATTAAAATCGATTAGCGTGAATGTCAGTGGGGACTTTAATGACTCTCCTAAACGAATTATGAATTATTTCGAAGCTGAGACCCTCCTTTGGCCATTATGGGACTTTATAAGGAGGGGGCGAAGGGGGGAGTCAAAGAGTACTGGTTTACAGATATACAAGTGTCATCATAATTCAATTAAAACTAGGCCTTAATTATCCGAGTATCGTATACATTTTTTTTTAGGTTGTCCAAGAGAAATGGGTTATGGTATACTTATTAATATTTCTTTTTTTTTTTTCAGAAACTTGAGCAAGACGATGACGACGAGTATCTCGACACCCCCTGGGCCGACGGCGGCAGTTTGAAACGTAATTTTCAAGGTTTGAACAATATCACGTGGAAACCCCACTAAATTGACATAATCGAGCAACAGAAAAAGACAGAGAAAGAACAAGGAAATCCCGAGTCATTGAAAAACGCGTGAAAATTGACATTGCTGCTTTAAAAAAGAAAAAGAAAGAAAAATACATCGTACCACGGAGTGAACCAGAGATCCAATGCTCAACAGTTTGATAAACCTTCTTGTAATATCGCTTGACTCGAGTCACAAGCAACGAGGCATTCTTGAAGTACGAATCATAATAACGTTAATTCGGGACTGTCAAAGAAAAAAAAAAAAGAAAAAAAAATGGTGGAAAAAAGTTTATGGGGAGATATTTACGAAAATGAAAATATTGACAAGCACTTTAGAGAATCGTGAAGATAATTAATCCACACGCACACTACTACCCAGTCTAACGAGTTCTCGTATTACCCATAGATATATGATATTTTGTATCCGACATTTTTCTACGTCCAATTAATGGACACATTCTCGCTGTTGATGGGAAACACTTTTGTGACCGTCTCGACGCCAATGGACAATGCCACTTTTTCTCAAATCATCCGGGCATACTGTTAATAAATTCGCATTTAACTATTTATCGCGAGAGATTCGCCTTTACCACGGGACGCGATTCCTTCGCGATTGGCGAATCGCAGGCGTTCACGATTATTCCCAAGTCGCAGTAGACGAGAAAGGAGGAAGACTCGATGATCCAAGAAAGCACAAAGCAACGGCAAGTAGAGTTCTAGCGATGATAAATTTTGAAATTGAAAAATAAAGGTTTTCGGTCATCGAAGGTGTAGTACAAATACGAGTGACACACGTAACTTACTGCACTACGCGTCCTACTGCCGTCGCGCAACACGTGGCATCATTGTATTTATGTATTGTAACGTATCTTTTCTTAACTCAAGACCGATAGCGAAAAATCCGAGAGCGAACTATCTTCGAGAACCAACCTACGTTCCCTTCGGCCGTCCACCCTTCGCTCGTGCATCCGCAAGCCAGGCGGGCGCCAGCCAATTCTTTTTTCACCGGGAACTGACGAGCCGGTATGACCTGGGAGTTGGGCTGGACCAGGCCCACCACCAAAGCTGAGAGCTCTGACGGAACCTATCAGCAGAGACGATGACTTAATGGATCCTACACATTTTTGGGGACGCGTAAAATCAGTAAACGCAACTGGATGCACTAACGGGAGCGCACGGTTACGGAAATGCACGGTCGCTCAGGTTGTTAGGTTGAGCTAGAGAGGGTCGGAGTAAGAGTCAGGCAAATAGTGCGCGATACAGAGAGCAACGGATCGACAGAACGAATCGGACGTGTCTAATCGAAATCCCTTCACCAATTAATAAATTGGGAGACTCACCGGAGCTGGTGCAGCTGATCCGTGAAGGCCGGGAACTGCATCCAGGGGACACTCGGGTGGGCACTGCACTAGAACACGGCACTGCACTTCCGGAACACGCACAGGAAACCCATAGAATTTCCTGGATATCGCGAGAGCAACGCGAGAGCTACACGAGCGAGAACTTTCTATACCGTAGCGGAACGCAGCTAGAAAAACTATCAACAGACAGCACGGGAGCGCGAGGCAGTTCGTGACACCTCGGTCGGTGCCCCGAGTCAGACTGACTTTGACAATAGTCAAATTCGAGAACTAATCATTCTGATCATCTGATTGGTCGAGATCCTTACAGCCGATAACTCTTCCATCTCCCTCGAGTCGTCCCTTTAAACCAAATTGAGAGCGTTCCTTAGCGAATCGGTACGTAACTCTTGGAAATCCTCCACAGCCACTTCCCCAGGGCATCGGGCCATCACGTCCTTACCTGGGGTCAGGGGGTTCCTCCCCTGCCCTTAACCGTATCAAAACTATAACTCCGGCCGCTCTACAGCCCTTTGCCCATCTCCAGCGGAGCACCGGTATCTCACCCGGGCTTCTGCCGGTCCGTGGAGACGTCTCCGTCGGGTCGTCTCCTCTGCCAGGTGACTCGGTACGTCGAGACTACCTCCCCACGGCAGATTCGAGCACCTCGACCTCAACTACACAATAACGAAATCTTCCGAGAGCAATGGCGTAACTATACGAATCCACCCGAGAGCGTAGCTTCTGAGCAAGGTGGTCATCCGAAGGGAGACAGAAATCGAGAACGTTATCTGTATCGGTAGTCGGAGTCGCCTCGTGACCGTGAATCGAAAAAGACGTCACAGTACATACAGTATAAAAAAAATATGTTGTCATTACCACAAAGACTTACCCTCGAATTTTTAAGCGATTTTGAAAACTGCTAATGGCCAGGTGGTGGAAGAAAAAAATTGCGTAAAAAAATATTTAAAAATGTATTATAAGTGGCACGACACACTGCTCTGGTTCACTCCGAGATGAAGCTGGTGGGCTTGGGGGGTAAGAAAAAGCACGCGAATAAAAATTCAACTTGCAAAACACTATCGTATATTACGTCACATTTACTTATCGACTTAAACTTAATAATTAAATAAATACCGATAACGTTTAAATATTACTAAGTAATTTGCTTGCTGTGTGATCATGACGTATCCACCCGCCGTGCATCGTAGCGACTAATGTAACATCATATGAGAAGGAAAGGTACAAGACACCACGCATGATACACTGGGCTCACACACAAAAAGTACCACGTTCCATATTCATCGTAAAGGTAACGACGTAGGGGTAGTAAGAAGAGGCATCCCCAGTGGAGATGCTGTTCATTCGTTTGTTATTTTGATT